ACACACACACACACACACACACACACACACACACACACACACACACACACACACACACAGCCTTGGCCAGCTTCTGAGTCTGAGGCACTCAAGCACCACTAAGTGTTGACAAAGTGTAACTACAATCACTGTGTAGCAGCGTGAATCAACACAAACACTAAAACATCTTGTGAATCAGTGAACAGGTTTTATTGAAAAGTTCTCAGAAAGTAATCATTAGACAAACATGGCTGTAACTTTAATCTTTACAGCTATTAATCTAAAATTTGATGTAGTTTAGCTGACAGTCGTCCACACTTCTCTGAGCCCTGAAAGGTGTTTGTTGAGATATCTCAGCTCTTTTCTGCTAAATAACTTATGGCATCAAATAGCAACTGTTGACAAAGCGTGTTGATCTTTTCTTTGTATTATCCATCCATCCATCCATCCATCCATCCATCCATCCATCCATCCATTTTCTTCCACATATCCGGGGTCGGGTCGCGGGGGCAGCACCTTCAGAAGGGAGGCCCAGACCTCCCTCTCCCCAGCCACTTCTTCTTCTTCTTCTTTGTATTATTGTAAGTTTATTTTTGTCTTTTTCTGGCTCAACTCTAAAGCTGTTTGGACTGGTTTAAAACTGTTCTGTGTGCTGTATTGATCCAACAGAAGACTTGTTTCATTGCATGCATGTGAAATAAAACTTTTGGGAAATGTGTGTTTTTTTTATTTGTTGCTTTTACAGATAACACAGTTCTCTAATTGCTGAAAATCTTTAACAAAGACACGCAAAGTGTTCTGTGGGCTGATAAACAAAATACAAACTTGTCTTAAATGTTTTTTTTACTTAATAAATCCATGTTTTTTAAAAAGCCAATAGAAATTTGTTAATTTCTGTAACTTCACAAAGATGAATCCTTGACAAACCAAGCTGTAAACCATCTACAATTACCAGGTAATGTTTAGTCTAGGTCTTAAGAAAAGGTTGTGTTATCTATATCATTGTGCTGTCATATTTTTAATTATGCTATTTATTTGATCATTTATTGCCTCCATCAATGAAGTGATATTTTGAAGTAGTGCTGTTTTTTTTTTACCTGGGTGTTTTGAATGCATCTCTGTGAGTTTAAGATAAATACTTGTAAATGAGTGTATATGAGTTGAGATCACAGAGGTTCTGTATATAAAACAGCTGGAGTGTGTCTTGATTACATGACACAGCAACTAGACAGGGCAATAGTAATGCTAAATCCAGAGATTTAACATTACTGTAAATATTGGCAAAACAGCAAACAACAAGGGTTGATTGTGTAAAAAAAAAAAACTGAATGTAAACAATTAATGATGATATTAATGAAAATAAATAATATAATATATTAGTGTGTATAAAAACTATGTAATGTTTAAAAAAATGTCAGAAAGCTGTGTGTGTTAAGGGTGATGGAGGAGACACAGTTAGCAGATTTTATTTTATTTAAGTCAACATGGATGTGATCTGACCAGAACAGGAGCTYATAATGAAGAGACGTTAAACTTCACAGGTAAGTTTTGTTAGAGTTGAGAGTCAGGTTCAAGCAGGTATTGAACTGGGGTCAGCAGAACAAAATGAAAGTGAAAGTTCAACAACTTCTGAACAGATTTTCATGATATTTTCAAGAAATGTTGAGTTTGCCACAAAAAAACAAAAAGTTAAATTTGGGTGGTGAGCCGGATCG